TTAATTACTAATACTTACTTATTTCTGATTTGTGGCCCAGCCACGCCCAATTAACGAAGACCCATGAGCGGCCGGTAGTCATACGATTCACCATATATCGGATTCTATCTCTCATGCCCCCATGGACTTCATCCTCGGTGCTATTTTCTCATTACAATCCTCAATAATTACCTCATTCACTAGTTCATCTAAAAGAAAATCAAAATGCTTAATCAGCAGAGTCATGACCGCTCTTCGCTCCATATTATGGAGCAGCCCATACACCTGCTGCAGAAGGCTCATCATCTGGCCCATCCTCGGCTCCAATTGCTAATTACTTTATTATGTTCTAATTATTTAATGCATATATAATCCCTTATTAACTAATTAGTTACTATGTAATCTTTAAAGGATTAGTAATTAATTACTCACTATGCACCAAATTAGTAATTCAAATCGAAATATTTAAATAAAATAATTGCTCAGAATTGATGTGTGTATATATATATATATTATGAATCAAAATCAAACGATTCCGAATTGATATAAGAATTCAGAAATATGATATAATATTATATTTGTATATATTGATAATTATGGAATCTTAATAATTATTTCTATATTATAGAGTTATTTGATTTCGTGCAAGGAGGAGGGTGGGTTCCGGACGGGGAAATCGATTTCGAGATATGATTTGTAGCTAATTATGATCTATAGCTATTTAAGAAGGAAAGCTTTCGATTTCGGAATACGGGATCAAAATAAGAATCTGAATATTTGGGGCCTTTCTTCTCTCGCTCCGCATTGCGCCATCCTGCATTGAATAGCCAGCAGTAGGAAACCGACGTTGGGGCTCAATGTAGCTTCATTACAGGGCCTCCTGCAGCAGGGTCTGGTTTTCGGGTCTGGGCTTCAACCGGCGGAAGCGACGCGTCTCCGGCCTTGCTCCCACTGATCATGCTCTTGTCGTCTCTTCACTCCTGCAAGCACACTCTGCCCGCCCCCATCTCAGCCCCGCAACCACCATCGGAGGCGCAATTGGTTGTTAAGGGCTCTTGTTCCGGATCTGCCCCAAGGTTTTGAAAAGCCCCAAGCTTAACATCCCGAAAAGCTCAGAAGTGGCAGCGATCGCAGGCAAGGTGCAGCATCGACTCACAGTCTTTGGTCGCCTGAGTGCCCCACCTGGCCGGGCAGGGATCGGATGATGTCGGAGTCGCCGGGGTCGGTGATGGAGAGGCAGCTCACGCCTTCGAACTCCCGGTACGGCTCGTAGCGCGCAAGCGAAGGAACTCTAGTGCACGAGGAACGCATGACAGTAGCACTTCTGGTTTGCCCTGGAAGGTGGCTGAAACCCATGTCGAGACACCAAGCACCTCCGAGCTATGAAATCCTCCTGACACTTAGGGCGAGACGGTAGTATCGACCGCAGGCAGTTCCGAGCTCGTTGTTGTCACCATGGAAGTGGTGAACTCCAGTCTTGGCCTTGGGGTGTTCTTCCAGGAGACTCAGGATTGCTCCTGCAAATCCCCTTCGAGGTAAATCCACAGGAAGGACAGCTCCTAGCATCACCGAACATCATCGAGGCACAAATCAAAAGCCCAACGGCACCTCGAGTGAATCCACCTGCAACATGCGAAGTCGTTGATTCGCGTAGATCCTCACTCACCATCGGGAAGTTCCCGCAAAATCACAGGTCAAGGCCTTGTTCTGCGCCCTGCTTTCGACAGGAGCTACAAAAAAGCCCCGGCACGGCCTGCACACGACCTGAACACAGCAGCTCCAAGTCTCCGGCCAGCATCGCATAGTACTCAATCCTTGCCGGCAAAAGTAATGCCAAGGTCTGGAAATGTGCAGGCGGTCGAACATTGAGACTTGTGCAAAATACACTGTTATTTGTGTCAGAAACCCTGCGACGTCATCGCCACATGCCTGCAAGGAGCAGCCTTTGCACAGTATTTTCCTGATATTTTAGGATAACAGACTTGGACGACGACTTTGCGACAGGTCTGGATGGCTTTGAGACATGCTGCTGTACACATTCTGGATATGCCTACAAACAAGCATGTATGTTTACATCGTGCTTTACGTGGGCGTCTGAGAGCAGATCTTCGAACGAAGCGATGCAGAATTCTGGCTTTGGCTGTGGTGTGGGGTTGACGAGCTTTGGCTTCACAGCTAGCAGCTACGAGTAGCAGAGGCTGGAAATGCAAGGTCCCTCTTCCAGACTCTTCAGGTGAAGACAAGTTGCCAAAAACATAATCTATCAGCATGAGCACCGAATCAAACTGCAATTCTTGGAGAGACTCGTCAACTTTCTCCTTTCAATGCTTCACGTGCATCCGAGGGGAAGTTTTCAGTTAGATCCAACAGCGAATTCAGCAACAAGGCCGCCTAGAGTGCAAGCCGGGGTATGAGCAATACACAGCTTGTGCAAAGGATCTTGACCGATCTGGTTCAATAGCGAAGACGGCCAACGATTATTCAATCATGTCCTCTGTCTGTGCTGTCCCTCTGAGGGTCTAACTCGCTCTTCCTCAAGGCGGGGCAGTTGTTCGAGATCAGAACGAGCTTGGACTTGCCCTGCCTCAGGGGTTGTGAAGGCTTCAGGCTTCGCAAAGGGCCCCCAAGCCCACATACACCGATTCCGAGCTGAAACTCAGAAAACACCGAGGGCTCGTTCTGCTTTGGTGCTTGATTCTGAGATGCTGGAAATCATGAGCGTATCCTGCCACAGCCTGTAAGCTGCGGGGCCAGATGCCTTGGGCTTGCAGATTCACAAACCCGAAGCTTCAGAAGCCAGCGCCTCAACGTCTTCAGGGTGGTCTTGTAGCCCAGGCTGTACTTGCCACTCTTCATCACCAACTGCAGTCGAGCCTTGTGGGGAATTAGCTGTGCAGACCATACATGCACGTCAGAGGCTCTTCCAAAGCTACCTACGGAGTGGCACAAACTTTCACCTCAAGACCTCAGCCTACACAGACTTTTTTGGTGGAGCCTTGAGTAGCGATCCTGTGGACATGTCTGCAATGCGCGAGGCCCTACCAATCCCTACCAATTCCGCTTGCAAGCTTCCCCTACAAACGATTCAGAAGTTCGGATTTGTTGTCCGGCCAGTGTTTAGTGCGACATCATAAACGCTGCAGAGGAAGAGCCACTTTCGAAAGCTGTTTTCCGGACTTGCTCGCAACATTCCGCCGGCGTGTAAGCCCGAAGTCTCAGTCGCAGGCATTGATGGAGTCTGCAGACTTGGAAGCCTCCATGGCAACGGATTCAGTGGTTTGGGGTTGTTTACAATTTCTGAAAACCGGGCTGGAAACTTCCTACTCCGCCTGATACGCAACGTCATCGCACAGAGGCTTCAGGTTTCAGGGAATCGAATCGCAGTCTTGGCATGGACCCTCGAAGGGAGGTGGGGGCCTTCGAGAGACGAAGGCCGAAAACCCAGCCACCTCCCCCTACACCTCGTCCAAAGCTCGCCAATACTGAGAATTCTGAAATCCTGGTGCGCGAAGCCTCGAAGAGGCTAGGTCACCCCACCTTGGACTGCTTCTTGGTGGACGACATGGCCGCAGCGGGACCGAGGAAGAGAAAGGGAGAGGGCACAAGGGAGCGAAGCGGACGCCTGAAGAGCCCGAAGTCAACACAGGTCACGGCCTTCGTCAGTTCTGGATTTGGAGGTTTCCAGAGTTGGATGTGCAAAGCGACTTTCCTTCTTAAGACAAGGTCCTGATTGAAAAGCGTTGCTGCGTGCTGAGCTGACACTTGCCACCGGTTGGTTTGAACTGGCCCGCCGCCTTCCATGAAGCCGTGTTTCGTTGTTCTCGACCCTGCTTGTGACGCAGGTCGCATGTGCTTCAACAATCACACTCTGCATCACCCACTGTTGTGTCCGGCACAGCTACGCGTGCAAGAAAGGAACACGATGCATGCCGCTGAAGGATCCAAAACGCCTCGAATGCTACTTCTGGCTTTACAAATTCGTGTAAGCTGTTCTCAGGCTGCAGCTCTTGGATCATATGCCAACATGCAAAAGATGTGGGGGGCTTCCGCACAAGAATTGAGCGAGTTGCATAAGGTCTGATGAATAGTTGCTGCCTGTTCGGGTGGAAAATGCAATGATGGTGAACGGCTCCGGCGGCTTCGTGCACAGGCCAAGCCGCCCCAACTTACAGCACACAGACAGGAAGCTCACAGGCAACCCCGTGTTCTCGACAACTGGACAGTATTGGGGGGTTGGAAGCCTTACACTGGTCTCGCTTTTCTGTAGGATCAATCGATGCCCCAGTCTTTGCATTCAAAGCTGGCACCCAACGTCAGCAACCCGGAAGTGATCTCTCGGTTGGATGATCGAGGTCACGGGAGAACAAGCTCAACGTTCGTCACCACATTGAAGTACCCTCCCGGTGAGGTGCCATCCATCTAGCATTTCTAATCTCGGTCGTCGAGCGGAAAGAAGCCTCAAGGAGCTTTTCCCACCAAGTCACTAAGTAGTGTGATTAACAGAGCAAAGGGCAAGGTCCGAGAGCAGTTGCCGCCGGATTTGGCAGCTGTCTGATTCCCAGATATCCCTCCTTTCAATGTCTTTCCTTCCCTGCCAGACAATAGAAAACATCGCGCGCACCAAGTTGTAGGCTCACTTCTTCTGCCGTGAGAAAATATATACATGACATCTGCCCTTCTCCAGTCAGAGGCAAAGCAGACAGTTTTGAGCCTCTCCATGTACACATCCAAGCACTTCCAGGGAGTCCGCATGCCATACTAAGCAGGCTCAACCAACCTCCGAGCCTGAGGCATGCCTTCAGGACGGAGTGCCTGCGCCACCGTGCACATTGGGCATCGGGAGACTCATCGACTCTCTTCAGATGCGCTTCGTTGTCGTTGACAACCAGATTCAGAGCGGCCTTTGCGAACTCGCTCTTCGGAAGGAGCTTCAGTGCTCAGCGAAAGGTGCAGGTGCAACGCAGTGGCCGCGGTTTCAGCAAAAGACTCCTTACAGGCCTGTTTAACGGTCGGTTTCTGGAGGGCCGTCTCATGGAGAGCCACGGCTAGGGTCTCCTTCCAAGCTGTTGGCGCCTGCGCGCCTTTCTCTTCTGCTCTGCGGATGCTGACAGCATCCGAGCACTCCGCCAGCCAGAAGCAGGCTGGCAGGCCGGCTGCCGGGGCAATTCAGCTCATGACTTTACCACGTCTTCGCTGACTCCCTCGAGCCCTCAGAGAGGCCCTTTGTGATGTGCTCCGCACATCTCAGGGCAGCTGGAGCTTCGTTGAGCTCCTGTGGATCGCCGACAAACTTCCGGTTTCAGATCTCGGAACATCGCAAACATCAGCTTTCACAGCGCTCGGAGTCTGCACACGAGGCTGCAAGATGGTACTCTATGCCGGTAGCACAACATCACTCCACCCTGCTACGGCCTCCAGAACGGCGGCCGCGCGCCGCCCCTGCCCGGAAGCCTCGAAAGCGGCCAGCGCCGCCTGCCTGGTAAAGCTGGGCAAATGACCTTCTGCCTCGCCTCGAGCTCCACCAGCGATCAAGGCCTAGAACTTTGGCTGTTCCAGCTGAGTTCGGGATCAGGCTGAATGATTCCAAGACGGCAGCCCTACGCGCTCCAACTCAGAGGCTATCAGATGCCAAGACCGTCTGCAAGATAGTACCTGTAGCAAATCACTCTTCAGGGCTGGCATGACCTTGTTGCAGTCTGCTCTACTCAGCCTTTTGTCACCAGTACGGAACTAGCAGCAGAGCGGCTGCGTGATGGCCGTCTGCGACAGCTCCCAATTCCTGACCTCAGGTTCAGTTCTTCCCCATGTTCTCTGCAGATCCCGGAACGTTATGTGCTGCATGTAGCATGTACCAACAAGAACCGGCTTGACTGCCAAGCTTGCCTCGATCTGGCCAGTTACATGGGAGACGAATATCGTGAGGCCAAGCAATGCGTCTGTATTGCTAAGGCGTCTCGAGGAGGCCGAGCGACTTCGCTGACCAGCCGAACAGCCCACCGCCAGGCCGAGGCAACGGCACAGGACCTTTGGCTACGGCTTTCATCTGCCCACCCAGGCTCGTCAGCTAGTCAAAATCAGGACGTCGCGGAAGCTCGTATGAGAAACTTCACCGCGGGCCGGAGAGTTGCAGGCCAGCGGCGAGACGGCGGCATTGGTGCTGCGAAGCGCCGTATCCTTCGCATCTCCTGAAGGCACTTGCACAGGTCGCCGAAGAACCGTTGAAAGCAACGACAACTTCCCAAATCCATCACGCCTAGCTAGTTTGCAAGAACCCTTTGGTCGTCCAAAACCTGCCATGTATTTTTCCTCCCCAGACTCACCTGGTTACACCACTCAAACCTAGCTGAACTCAATCCAAATCCACTCCTAGCGAGGCTGGCCACAGCAGCAACGATCGGGTCCAGATCCCTGCCGCACCAGTGGAAGCGAGCCTGAAATACTCAGGAGCCATATAAAACCTCTACTCACTTGGCACCTACTGGGTTCTTCTAAACAAGTATCAGTGTCAGTGTTGGCGATGCGCCCCCCAATTCACTTCAGTATCCTCTCATCTGAAAGTTCAACCGCAACTCGCTCATAACGGTTGCACGATCGGCAAACAGATCTTCACGCATTCAGCTCGAGTTCCTGCTGCCTCCACCCTCAGCGCCAACGGAACATCAAAGCCAAACTCCCTTTTCAGTCACAGAGTCACAAGTTCCACGTGAACTTAGTGTTCTGGCAGAACTTTCTGTCAAAAGCTCGTGCTCCTGGTAGAATTTAGTAAGACAAGACGATCTACTTGCGAAGAGATTCCAAGACCAACTGCAGAGTAAGGATGCTGACAAGCCAAGCGACAACTTTCTGTATGAGGTTAAGCCAAAAAGCTGATTCCCCGAACCCTGCTTAGTGACCAGTTGCATAACATGTAGCTCGAGGACCTTGATGGAGTCGGGCAAGCCACGTCTTGCTCTACGTTTTTTGTAGTCATCCGAAATTCCCAGCTCACAATTGGATTCCGCACGAACAATGACGAAAACCCTGCTAGAGAACAGCTTCGAAGCTCTTGATGGAATGACCATGGAAGACTCTCATGAGATCTTCATGTCACGTGTTTTCTGCCACAATCTGCCACAGTAACTGAAGTTCAAGCTCCAGACAGTCTTCATGATAGACAGGTGCATATGGATGTGTAGAATGGCATGTAAATGAAAGAAACAGCTCGCAAGTATGCAGGCAGGCAATACCGCACCACGACTCTCTCTGTCCACGTTGCTTGGATTCCACTCGAGCATTACAATGATACTGCACAATACATACTTCATGCGTCTGCCAGGCTCTGGAAACAAGGCGAAATGGAGCTAGCTTCTTAAATGTGCCCTCCAATGCTGCCTGTCTCGAAAGACCTTCGATTATACATGATTTTATCACAAGGTCCTTGAAAGTACTCCTACTTTGCCTGTCATGCCTCAAAGCGGATGTGTAGATATACAACCCCTTAAGAGCAGGAAACAACCCTCAAACCTGCGTCTTCGACTGTCCTGACACCTATAGTGTGAACTTTCTATTCACACTTCAAGCTGATACCTCAAGGTTGTACCAGTTACTGTTCCTCCCCACGCTTTTTCAAACTAATTAGGATAATTCTCAAGGAAAAACAACCTGAACAGTCTCAGCAGCAGTGCCAGCCGCGCAAGCTCCGCAACCTCGTGCAAAGAAGGGCAAGCAGAGCGTAAGGGTGGAACAAGGTCCCGTGTCGGCTCGGGCTTGGTTGAACGTTGAAAGTGATACAAGCATAGGACTAGGACCAAGACAGAACTCAGCTGAAGCAAATCCAGCAATTCCATGGCTCGCATCAACCCGCAAACCAAGCCGGGGAACCGCCTCGGCTGCCACCAGAACGCCTAAAGTTCCTAAAGAAGACGCGCAACAAAGCTCCCGCACCTCCAGCGTTCGTCTCACCGCCCAGCCCTGCAAGGACACCGCGGCCTTGCACCGAGTGGATGCACGGAGTGGGGGCTTCGCTTCTTGTGGCAGACGATTGCCTCTGCTCCCAGCTCAGTGATGTGCCATGAAAACGCGACTCCTGATCCGTGCCTTCCAGACTTTTTGGCTCGAAGCCAGGGCAGCTGCCAGCGACCTAAGCTTCAAGGAGCATCTTCTGTTGGCTTGCATTCTGAGATGTTAGCTCAATTCGTTTAACAGACATGCAACTGGGCGTCCTCTGGATATATGCAGTTCGGCCAGCCACTGTCACTGGCTGAAGCTCATCTCCACTTTCCTTTCAGCCTTTCTCTTCGGCTGAAGAACAGGTGCTCCAGAATTCAGACAAGTCACACTTCCGTCACTCTCAAGGAAAACAAACGGCCTGAAGCAGGGCTCGCACTGAGCTGTGCTTGGGGCTTCTGGAAAAGCTACGCCTGCGGCTTGGGCAGAGTGACGCTTGGTGGCAATGACTCTTTGGTCGGTGCAGTCGCACTTGCGAGCACACTCAAGAGCTCTTTCCCAACTGCAATACTGCTAAGCTCTTGGACCTTTGGTCGGGCCCCATGCAAAAGAACAATTGCCACCGACATTGACATGTAATTGTCCTGCGTCGCGCCTTCACTCAAGAGGGAGAGGGCACCAGCCCAGTCACCGGACTTCCTGCTACTGTGCATGCAAGAACAAAGCTTCAGAATGTCCTTGGGGCATGGGATCCTGCAGGGCCTACTCGTCACCATGTCGACTTGGATGGCATCGGGGTTAAGGCCATCGCGCCGTCGGTCTCATGCAGCATTGACAACAAGTAGGCCCTACGACCCAAAATGCTGAAAACTCGGTCCCAACCGCACTCTGCGCCGCGCCGAAGCCAAACTCGTCGCGGCGGAGACCCCGCTTCGTGAGGAGGCCTTATGCGCTTCGGGAATTCGGGACCCGGGTCCGGGTTACTTCAGAGGCTCGAACAACGGAGAACCAGCAGTGTAAGCGCGCCGCCGAGAGCTTTCTGCCAGGCACCTCCGCGATCACAGGCGGCGATGCCTTTGTCGAACGACCATGACACAACCGAGCACGGTCAGACGAAGTTTGACTTGAGAAACTGACATACAAACTCTTGTGGTGAGGACAAGCAACACGAACCAGCAGATTCAGCATGTAGAACCGCTGATTCAAGAACAGCTAGCGAAGCAGACGCACAACGGACACCGTGCCACCATGCAAAGCAGACGAAAACACGGAACAACGCAAGAACAAGGCTTGGTGAAATGCTGTGCAACGGGGTTGACTGAGCGGCCTAACTTGTTCAACTCGCTTCGGTTTCTCGGCTGGGACTACGACAAGCAGGAGGCCACAGCCTGCCAATAAGGAAGTCAACCCTGCCGAAGCTCACAACGTTGCACACTCAAATTCTTAATGCCCGGAACCCTGAAGTCACGAGGTGCGCCAAGCCCCACGGAACATTCCGTCCGTGAGATCTGGCCTGCATTGATTGGCGCCGTCTCGCTTGCACTCGGTGCAGCCAGCAGTCCCAGCGCCACTTCCTTCTGCGTTTAGCCCTCTGTGCAAGGATTCCGAAGTGGCCCAAACGCAGAAACCCGGACGAATCCAGTCAGTCTGCGCAAAATAAAATCAAAATGGACGGGCGTGCACTGGTACTTCTGTCAACGATGGGTAGATCAGTTCTTAGAAATTTGTGTTTTGACATGGTATACATGGCACCTCATGAACGATGTACCGAGTAAATGATGCTGATGCCCACAATCCTGCATGACCTACATCATTGCACATATCTCATGTCGCGCTGTCCACTTCCGTGCAAGCCATCAATTTCAATGCTGCATCCTCATGGAGTCATGCAGGATTTGGGGCATTCGGCGTCAGTGCCATATCAAAATTCGGTGTAGCAGGGGAGCCGTGGCGAGGTTGAAACCATATTTCTTCGTGGTACAGAGTCAGATGATATTTGACACCGTCGGAATCCATGAAAACGGGAGGAGCGACCCAGAGCGCTCTGTCTGCAAGGCTGGAGAGCACCGTCGCAAGCGTGCCTGGGCTACCACGTCGCGCTTTCATGGTGGACTTTGGGTTTGCTTTCGAGTCTTCAGCTTGGGCTTGGGACTGAAGTTCAATCACCGACAGAAGGCGAAGTCGCCGCCGCCAAACCATGAGTCAGCATTGCTGCATTAATCCTTAACAGCATTCGCTGTAGTATCCCTACCAACTCGCCTTTCGTTCCAGGCTCAGAAAAACTGAACTCAGGAGATCGCAAGGACTGGTGACTGCTTTCTGCGAAACTTGGCACGGTGCAAGTCTTGTGCGGCGTTTGTTGGTGCTCGTGTCTTCCAGTGCATCGTTGCTTTTGTAGCTAGCCATTTGTGACTGTACGGTTATTTCTTCTTTCGTTACTTTTAACTTGAACTTGGTTCCTGCTTTCTTTATGTCTTGCTATCGTCACTTGTTCATTTCGTCTTCGTTGTAGCTGCCTGCATTTCGTTCCTGATTTCGTGCTTTCTTTGCTTGATCTTGTGACCGGGGATGGCGTGGAATCATTGGGAATCATCAAAAGATTTTTCTGTGAGAAGCCTGTGAGGGAAGGGAGTCACCGGCCGGACCAAAACCCAACCCGCTTACAGGTTTCTCACAGCTTTCTCACAGGTCACCTGCAACCCCCACAGACTTCTCACAGGTTTCTCACAAGATCTTCACAGCCTCCTCTCACCAGCCTTTCCAAACTCACAGACACCGCTCACAGATTTCTCACAGGTTTCTCACAGAAATAAATATTTTGCGTTGCACGCCCGATTCAAACCACTCTGAGACTCGGACTCTTTAAGGATGGCTTTCGCATCCGTTGGCCGAGCATGTGGCTACTGCCACCCTTCATGAGACGGCGCCTGACCAAAAGCCGACATGAAGACCCAAACACTTCATGCAGCAAGGCCGTTGCACGTTCAGGTCCAGCATTTCGGCAAACCACTCCAGCTGCCTTCAAGGTCGCAATTCAGGTATGTTAAGGACTAAACGATTATAGCTGGCCTGAGGCGGAATTCGACGACCAACTCCGTGGCATGCACGAAGCGGTCCGCCGAAGTGGAAGGCCAATCATGCACCTGAAACAAGTGAATGCTCACATTGCGCAATGTTGGACCATAACCTGCTGCAAATACTGCTGGTAGACGAAGGATCCTAGCAACACATCAAAGTCCAAAAAGAGGCTGCTGTGTCTCCACGGGTGGCCTTCGTCTAAGTCCTCCAGTAAAGCAACCTCCCGAGCGTGAACCTGCGATCCGAGACACTCGTAATTCGCTAACGACCACTACTGAGCCTCGTTGGTGTGGTCAAAGGTCCACCAACGAGGGTACCTAGGGTCGCAAGAAAACAATAACGAACACGACAAACGACCCTGCACCCAAGCACGCAATCCGAGGAAAGAGCTCAAAGGAGGGCTCATCGTCTTCCACAGGCACGACGACCGGTGCGTGAATAGGACCTTCACGCGACCGGATAACACTAAATGCAAGAACAGGCCGAAGGCTTGAGGCTGCGGCTGGGAGGAGCGGCCATGATGACCTGAAACGATCGAGGCGTAGGAAATAAAGCAACAAGGTCAAGAACTGAGCACGGGACAAAACAGAAAAGGCGAGGAAGCTGAAAATCAACTAACTTGATCGAGAACGGCTACGGCCGTAACAGTGATAGGTGCGCTTCAATCCCAAGGTTGTGTAGCAAGGAGCGTGCATTCTATTTGTGCGCGCGCGTTACGAGTAACGTTGCCAATACGGTTCCGGTCTCCTCGCTATCGAAGGCGGTTTCGATCAGATCATAACTCATGGCTTTTGATGATAACCCGTGGTTTTCGATCATAACTCGTGACTTCTGGTCATAACTCGTGGCTTTCGATCAGAACTCGTGGCAAGTAATCATAATTCGTGGTTTTTCATCCTAACTCGTGGCCTTTGATCGTAACCCGTGGCTTTTGACCATAACTGGTGGCTTTTGCTCATAACTCGCTGGTTTTCATCATAACTGGTTTGATCAGAACTCCTGGCCTTTGATCATAACTCCTGGCTTTTGATCATGAGGCGTGGCTTTTCTACGACGGCTCTCCCGACCTTTGGGACATCTACGATGTCCCGGGACGGTCAGCCCCCCCTTCTCGTTAGGTAGTTTGAATGAAAAGTCGCTGAGCGAAACGACGTCTTAAGTTCAAGCTGAGATTCGTTGTTCCAGACGTCTCCTGAAACTAAAACTATCATTCGGTCGAGATGGAAACTTACAGTGTCCTGGAAGTTTACAAAATTTAAAATATACGACGATACACTAATTTATGGGTGGACTTTGGCGTTACAAACTTCCAGTGTCCTTCAAGCTTACCCTAGTGTTCGACACAAAGATGCACAGATTTATGAGTGGACGTTGGCGTTGCAAATTGCAGTTTTACTCCACTCCAGTCACAAGCCTAATCATAATCAGTTGTTTATGTAATTCCTTCTTGTTTGTTTCATCCACTCTTTTTGTCCTTCGTTCCTTCTTTCGTTCTTTATGTCGTTGTTTATGGCTTGCTTTCGTTTGTTCCTTCCTAGTGTCTTTCGCTAGTTCGTTGTTTATGCTTGTCTTGGTTCCTTCAATTCTCTCCTTCTAGTTTGTTATTTTTCTGTCGTGATTTACGACTTTTCTATGTAATTTATTGCGTTCGTTCGTGGGCTCTCTACATATTCTGTCGTTGTGTTTTACGTTCTGGTCTGGGTTCGCGAAATGTTCATTTACTTCGTTCTGTAGTCCCGTCTTTCTGCCTTTCCTTGGCTGTTTATCGCTTGTTCTCAATTTGCTGGCGTTCCTTCTGCGCGTCACACTTTCATGTTGTTGAACCTGAGCTGTTTTGCCCAATGCTGATCGGAATCTTTGATGCCCATCCTTTCCAAGTAGTCGCACCTTCCTTCTGTGTCATATCAATACACATCAACATAGGCAAAGCTCCACTCGTCCCCAACGCTTGCTGTCTGGTTGCTGGAGTTTGGCCGTAGCTGATAAGCCTGCACAGGGGCCCCGAATTCAGAAACCACTCCTTCTGCCTTCGTCGTCCGTTACCCACGTATTTCTAAGGTCCTTCTGCTCCTTAACTCCCACAACCCCCGGCCGGGAAGGCGGCCAAGAGCGCGGCAGCCCGCCGCCAGCGCGGCAGGGTGACGCCGGCGTTCAAAGCAAGCGTGTCCAGGAGGATGCCTGGCTTCCGACACGTTCTGATCTCGGCAGACCGTCTTTGTTCTTCGAAGCTTACTAGCTCAGCAAGTCTCAAGTCAATGCTCCTGGCACGGAGAAAACTCACGGCATATTGCCCCCACATGCACGGCCGCACCTTGACTTCCCATCACTGCTAGAAGGCTCCATGCTCGAGCCCAAGCCTGCGCAATGGGCAGCGTTGCTTCGTCTCTAGACCGGACAAAACCTGTTGCAGAATGGAAGGGTGCTGGCACGGCCACGGATCTGCCTCTGGAACTGGAGCTGCAGTGGTTGCAATGGCAAGCCCGTTGAAGATGGTGCTGATACCTGATTACCGATTATCAACATATTTCCGCTTCGATGGGCACTGCCTTCCAGAATCCAGAATGTGCTGAGATCTAAATGGCTTGCCACCTACTTCTTTGTCAGTTTAGATCTCTAGCTCTAGTTCGCCTTCACCATCTATAGCTGGCCACTCCCACTTTCATGTCTCTATTCGCAGCTGCTTCACATCCGGGATGCCAACGGCATCAAGGTCGCCAAACCGGAAGGTCAGAGCATACGCCTGGTGGCACACGGCTGAACATGGGAGCTTGGAACTGACGCTTCTCGGGCCTGCCGCCAGTGCCCAGCACGAGCAGACCTGCAGAGTTCACCCGGGCTTCGGACTGGAAGTCTCTGCTTCCTCGGGCTACTTCGAACCCGCAAGGCGAGACGGTGAAACCAAGAAGGAATCCTTGTGAGCTGCGGCCAGCAGACGCGGTAGATGCAGCATTGCGACCGTAGGAGTCCGGGCGCACCGAACGACCTGCAAAAGATTGGAAGGCTGCAAAGATGGGCCCCTTGCACCAAAGCGCATTGCAAGCTTCCTCCAACTGCAAACTTGCAAACTCTCGCTCTTTCAAGGCCTCGCTGACTGAAAAGTATCGCCAGAGCATCAGCCTTGGGCTGCATTACACAAACGAGCGTTTTTTGGCAAGGAGGCCCTTAATTGAAGGATTTATAGAGGGAGGAAGTCACCACGCCTGCATAATCGAGCTTTTCAGATTCTGGGACGTTGACCACCGTCAATTGAAAAGGCCTTTATGCAACATTCACACCCGATGGTCTGCTCAGGCTGGCAAAAAGTGTGAAGGCTTGTAAAATGACGCTTCGTCAACAGCCATTCCCAACAAGCCTTCCAACCGCTCTGCATGTTCGTTGAACCTACCCTCCCCTCCCATCCCCGTCCAGCAGAACACAACTTCACTGAACACGGCACCAGCACGGTTTGTGCACCAGGAAAGCCGAAAGCATGCAGAGGTCTTCGCAAAGCACATCAAGGGTAGTCTTCGTGAATCTCTCCCTTGCAAATCCTACAGACCAAAGCCTCGAAGCCTCAAAATCCCGGAACCATCACTCAAGCCACAAAACGAGGCCCAAATCTCCAAAGCAAATCGCAGTTTCGCCGCCCAGAGCTCCACGGCTCCCGTTGCAGCATTGAGCCTCGCCGTTTCTTGTGGGAACTTTCAACGGTAGCTGCGAACTTGGAGTTCGGGTTGCGAGCTACGAAAGGACGTTGAAGCCTCAACCGAGAACCCCAACACCCTGCCGACACCGTTTCGCTGCAGACCCAGCTTGGCTTGCGGCTCTTCTCTTCCTGGTGAGATCGTGGATGCGAGGACCTCGCGTGGCCTTGCGGCCACGGCTTCATGTTTTGGATTCAGATTCTTCAGAGGACCACCCTTCCTTCGGGGTGTTCAGAGGGCAACTGGAGCTTCACGGAGTCAGAGTTGCAACACGGTTTCAGTCTGAAGCCGACCTCGATTCTACAAGTGATCTTCCCATGAGCCTGGCTCTGACGCATCGCCACGAAACGAAACCCTCAACCGCCAATTAACGCCCAGGTCGCTCCAAGACCCGAGCTGCCCTAGCTCCCGAATCCTTCACTCCCTGCACATCGATCTTGCCTCCCGTGCAGTGCGCCAGCGTGCGCAGCGGGCGCAGGCACTGAGAGCGGCGCAGCGGGCTCCCGGCAGTGGCCTCGCAGATCACGATTGCGACAGATTGCGACCTTCAGAGGACGGTGTGAGGTGGACTCGACCATGAGAACACAATGAACCCTGCACAGACCAAATCCTTCGGCTCGAGAGCTGAGGCGCCTCTCTCCCAGGCTGCTCCGCCCCAAATCCATGGCACTGACGGCTTCCTGCCAGAAGCTCCCGACGCCTGGACGTGCTTCAGGCCAGAAGCTCATGAAGTGCAAACCGTCTTCAGCTGGAAAAGTTGAAGTGCTGAATGAGTCTTCAGGGGCGTCAACAGACTATGCCTTAAAGGCTCAGAGCCCCGTCTTCTGCTCTAGTTTCGACTGGTTTTTGCTCCTCAAGACCTACCGAGTAAGACACGCTTACATATACACGAATGCAGCGCCAAAGAACACCACCGCAGGCCGAGCAGCTCGCGCCGGCGACCACGGCACCGAAGCTGACGGGATCGGGCCTGCTTGCCGGCTGAGGCTTAGACCCAAGCCCTGCGCCATGACTGTCAAACCGCCCTTAAGCTTGAATCCCCTAAAGACGCTCTGCGCCTTACCGTAGACTCTGTCATCTGGATCAGCCACTCGAAGGCCAAGCGCGGAGTGGGGGCCAGCCCTTTCAGGAAGCTGAGCAGCAAAGGCAGGATGACTAGGTGACAAGACTTGACACATCAACATGCTCGCGTCATTCTCGCGGAGAAGATCAGCCAGTATGGGTTGAAGGAGTTCCCACAAAACCCCAGAAATCTCTGGTAGCTAGAAGTATTGTAGTAGCAACAGTAGTGGTCATCTTCGCCGAAGTCGTAGAGGGAGCTCTTTCTGATCCAGGGTGCGCGTCTGTTGAGGGCAGTATGGTTTGCAGCCCGACACGATAAGCACGGCGTGCCTACCCAGATCAAGCTCTAACGCAGCGAACCAGCCCTAATCACAGCAAGCTCCTCCACAATAGCCTATGACAGCCTGTGAGACATGTCACCTTCCCAACGGGTCCGAGCGAATGCGTCCCTGACAGTGACTCTCGGCTGTCGTTCTTGCTCTGTCCACAAAACGGATGAGGAATCAGCCCGCCTAGAATTACATTCCACGCTGCGAGTGACATCGCTGATGTGAGCAAAAGCAGTGCGGAGCACCAACGTTGTGGGCGACACGCAACGAGGAGGAGCCTTGGAACCGTGAATTTTGCTTTAGACACCATGGTTAGCACTCCTCAGTCCGAGTGGGATTCCAAGACTCAGCCCGGCACGTTGTGGTGATGGAGTTTGGTGATATACCGTCCTCTCAGCATGTTTCGCAGTGTCATTGACATGGTGAAAAAATGCAGCATTCCACTCTGCCGTTTCTTCGGTGTCGGTAATGTCCGAGCCCTGCCCAAAGCATCCAAGCCCCACTGCATTTCTGAAGCCTCGGCGCCAGCACAGCTGGCCTCCTGCATCTGCTGCGCTACCCAGAGTGCATGGGGCCAGCGAGCTGCACGGGCCATGCCACCGAGAGCCTGCAAAGTTCAGAATCTCTGGGGAGTCGGCTTCAGACTACCTAGGATTCGGCTCGCACTTCTATGTCACTTCTGTGCGGACAACTGCATCCCTACTCCGACATCTGCAACATGCAACACGTTTTCAGTGCTTGACGTCCACAGGCTCGAAGCTCGGGCCCGCCCTTATCCACATTCAGAGTCTTGCGGACGTCACCAACATTGACTGATACGATTTACCTACCTGACGAAGACAATACTGAAGCACTCCAGCGACGTGCGTATAGCGATGGTCACTACAATCACTAGAGCATGCAAGCAAAAGCACTCGATGCTTCCAATGACACTGCTGAGATTAAGCACACTGAAAGATGAAGTTGTACTTGCTGTTGTTCCACAGCCTGCAGAGTGGTCCAATGGTCAAAGACACTACACTGCCTACGAAAACGAAACAAAAATTCAATAATGCTTGTTCAGGTTTGCTCAGCTTGCTCTGTTCGTGATCGTGCAAGCCGAAACCACTCACCCTGACATCCAACCCGTCGCGCCGCATGGTGAACGGCGGCATCGAGCTTGATGCATTCTCTGCGGAGCAGTAGAAGCAGACGGAGTGCCTGTGACTTACAGCAGAAGGTACGCCACCAGAGAACGACAGACAAAAAGCCAAGCAGAATCAGTAGCAGTAGCAGCAGTAGTAGCAGTAGTAGCAGTAGCAGTAGCAGTAGCAGTAGCAGTAGCAGTAGTAGTAGTAGTAGTAGTAGTAGTAGTAGTAGTAGTAGTAATAGAGTAGTAGTAGTAGTAGTAGTA